CCCCAAAACCCCAAAACCCCAAAACCCCAAGAGTTATGAATCGAAGCTTATTATAAAAGCAAAATTTATTCTATATTTGCAAATTTATTACAATTAGAGCTAACATGAATACGTTTTATGATGGCATTATCTCAATTTACACATCTAAGGATCTTTTTGATCGATTTAGCATTGAGACTAAACTCCAGGTCTTAGATTAATGAAAGCAGAGATGAATAAAAAGAGCAAGGAGGTTATTGGAGGAGCAAATAAGTAAATAACTAGAGTAAGATTTGTAAATGGATATCTTGATGAGCCAACCAGACTATGAATTTTAGGAAGAGTAGAATGAGAAAGTTTCGATCATAATTCAGGATTAAAATGAATAAGAGAATAACCTTTAGCAACAAGAGCCATTAACCCAAGAAATGAATGAAAATGAATGTACAGATATTCCCTTGCAGCAATAGCTGCAGACTATACTTGATATATCTGAGGAAATTGAAGAAGCATTTTTCAAGGATGTGCCTCCTTAAGACCCATAGTTCTTAATAGTAGAAGCATAAAATATGATTAAAAACACAAGTATAAAAGAAAATCCAAGTTTTAAAAGCTAATTCCTCAATAATCTTCAAGTTCAAGGTGGGGTTATTAAGCATCAGGTCTCACAAGTAGTGTCTAGATAAAACTCCAAGAATTAAAGTAATTTGACTTTTAAATGATCTAGGACTAAAGAAACAACAAATTCAGAGAGCAGCATGCAGATATAAGAGTCACAAATAAATTCAGCAAGAAATATTACCAAAGCATCACAGCCAAATGTCTTAAACAGAAAGCAATCAAAGTCTAGAAATCATTTCTTGACAAGAACTTAATCATAACGAGAGATATTACTTTCTAAGACTTCAAGTAACTTTCAAAGCCCACTGAGTTCTCATAATATTAAGGTAGACGAAGCAAAAAACCTCAAATTTTAAAGAACTACGAGTAAATTAGACAAATCTTCTCAGAAAGAAAAAATGAGTAAAACTCATAACAACTCCAAATTTCTTATACATAACATTAATCACCAAAACTTTATGATCATTGCACCACAATATCACATTAAACAAAACCAAGATTCTAAAACTAAACTTTAGAATTTTAAGGATTATTCTCCTGAGAAAAAAACTTATGGTCAAGATCCATACTAAAGCCAGGAATTAAACCAGATTTTGAAAAAGTATTTCAACCTAAATTTGAATACATAATAGTAAATCCAAAGTAGGTTACCTAAAGGTATTATATTTAATAGGAATCGCCCACTGATTAAGAAAATAGTTAAGAATAACTAATAATAGTAGCTGAATTCTACTCAAGATCAAGAGCAAGAATCTTTAAGCAGTCCCGACTTGATTGATAAGTCCAAAGAAAGACTACTAAAAGACATGTAAACAACTAAGAAAAGTTCAATAAGGAGGAAATTTCAAAATTCCATATTCAAAAGAAGTTAGAGTTAAAATCAAATTATTGAAAGCGAAAGCAAAAAATTAGAAAGTCCCAAAATTATAAAAGATGAAGAGTAATAAATGTTGCTTCATAAGAATCTAACATAAAAATTTCTTGATAGTTAAAAGCTGAAGTATCTTCAGAAAAGAATACAAAGCTCAAATATGACTAGGAATGTTTCAAATTAATCTGGAATTCCATCGTCAGAAAATGAAACTGAAAACCTATCATCTCAGAATTTGCAACTTAACTCATCTTAGTAGCTTAGGCTATCTAATAATTCTGATAAAAATATTAAGCCTACTTCTAATAATCAATCAGATACTACACAGTATTATATGGAGGGAAACAATATGAAAAGTGTGGATAGACTATGATAGAATAGCAACTTTAGGATAAATGCAGGTAAATCAAGATAAAAGATTTAACTCACTACAGTCAGATAGCTGAGTTCTAGATAACGAAATCTAGAAAAATAAGATGGCAGTAAATCAACATCAAGCATGCCTGCGATCAATCAGAATAGACCTAAATTTGTAAATGCACAAATGCTCAATAAAAATCTTAGTGTTCAAAATCTTTAGACCAGTCAATCTTAGCCTATGAATTTATCAATTAAGAATATTGCTGAAAGTGGAGAGCCTCCATAAATAAATATGGCGTAGGCAAAAAATACATAAATATATCAGCGAATAATTAATGCATATTAGAAGCCATCAAGCAACTAAAAGCCTATTATAAGATAAAGAGTTATATTATTCTCAGGTAAATAGATGTTTTAGTGAAAATAGATATATAATTAGGGAATAATCTCAGATCGTTTTAAATTTATATAAATTAAAAATTGCTTATTGAATAGCGAAGGGGTTTTGGGGTTTTGGGGTTTTGGGG